GAAGACATCAATTTGTAAACATTTATTGTACTAAAAATCTTTTTTAAATCATCAAAATACGAATCAAATGTAATTTATAATTAGCTCATAATAAAACCAAAAAATTCTTTTAAGTTACTATTTTCTAAGTTTTCAATAACAGCCTGACATTTATTTAAAAAATTGTTGTTATTTTCACCCAGAATGCGTGTAAATGTTTTCGAAACATAATAAGAATGATTTTTAATTTCTCTGGATATAATCGCATCATCAAATGCAACAGATAGTTTTGATATAACATTTAATAGCTCCCCGGAATTTTTTATAGCTTGTTCTTTGCATAAGAGAAGTTTTTTTAACATATTTCGAGCCTGATAAGAAGTTAATAATATTTCGGAATGTATATTACTCAAACCCTTATCAAAAACCTATTAAAAAAACAGAAGTTAAATAAAAAAAACTCTTAAAACTTTTTCATTACTCACATCAGACGTTTCGCAGTCTTCAGTCACATCAGATTCCGAATTTCTGAATATTAAAGTCAAAAGATACGACAGGAGAGGCAAGTCGGGGAGAATTAAGAAAGCATGATCTAATATCTTCTCCTTTGCAGATTGTATGGTTTCCAAATTATATTTGGGCCTAAGGAAACACACAAAAATTTAACGAATATTTTATAATCCAATTAGTTACTTACAAAATGATAGGAATAGATTCACATGAAAAAGGAACAGCTGCAAGATGTGATATTCTATTTCGCACCATACTGTCGTCGTCTTCTGTTAATGTAGTGACCATGTACCAGCATTTTATTAAATCGGAACCTTAATAAGCAAATTCCGAGCTGCTCTTAATATTTACTACTACTGTAACAATATTTAATATTTACCTGATAGAAGAGGATCCTTTTGGTAAAATAAACATTTATTATCAAGAAAGAAGTCGCATACAGACAACTTAAGAACAGTTGAGGCATCAGGGGAAGCACAGCATTCTAAAAAATTCAGTAACTTTGTAATGTTCAGTTTACTTTTTTGTTCTAAGCTTCCAAGATACTCCACAATAACTGCTAAAAGACTGCTAATTACTAAATCATCTTTGCATTCTTTACAAAGTTTTAAAAGATGTTCCATAACGTCATTTGGAGAGTTAAAAACTTCATTTAACAAAAAAACGTGCCTTCGAAGGGCTGTAAAGTAGGAAACTAAAAAATCAGCGTCTTCCATCTCGTTTAAATACCGGAAAGCATAGAGCAGATAAATTTTTAATGTACGTTTTATTAAATCGTTCATCTCGTCTATTAATTCAATTGGTAACAGTTTCACACATTGTTTAGCAAGATCTTTTTCTGTCCTGCACAAATTACTCCCATTTGACTCGCTGATAAAATTTATAATTTTTAACGAAAACGTTTTTAAATCCTGGTCGTCGCCAATTAAATAGGAGAACAACTGCCTAATTAATAATTTTGGGTCTGCGGCAACGTATGAGCTGTATAGTAAGCTTAAAGCCCCATTATATATTTTGTATTTAAGGGAAGATGTTGATAATACACGTGCTCCTTTTCTGTGTACTTTGCTCCATAAAAAGGAACTGAAAACGTTTTTCAGGTAACTGTTATCGTAGCTCTCACTATCACTAATTTTTTTTAATATTTCAAAAAGTATTTCTAGATACAGAGCCTTTGATAGATCACTGCCATTTTCTTCTAAATATTGGAATAAAAAAACGAAACAATCAAGGTCGCTTTTTTGAATAACATTTACATTTTCTAAGAAATATCGAAGCTGAAATTTTAAATAAAACGTTTAAAAAAGAGCTTACGTTTATAATCTTAATGAATATATTCACCTGGAGAAGAAGTCCATGTCTGTTATTTTCTGTTTTTATTCTTGGTAATTTCTTTAAAATATTCCAAACGTAGCCGTCTCTATCTTGAGTAGAAATTATAGCGACAGAAGCGGCAGCAGCCAAGTCTCTCGTTTGATAAACACTATTAGACAAGCACGCCTCGACATAAGGCAAAAATACACTTAACTACAATATAACAATGTTACATTTTCTAAAATAATATTTGATATTCTGTTTACTTTGTACTCAGAGTCGTTGTTACGATTTCCAGGGTACAGGTGCCCAAAAATGAGCAGGATCCCATACAAGCTGGGACAGTTCTCGTCTTTTGATCTATTTTTCAATTGTTTCAGCAAAAAATCGTAAAGAAGAGGGTACCGCATGAAAAATACATGACCTGTTAATTTATTTTTAGAACTAATAGACTTTTTATTCCTCGAAACACCGAACATTCTCGTCATCAGGGAAGAAAAGAGTAATGTAGCAGAATTTCGAATCTACAAATCAGACGATATCAGTCTAACAAAGGTAAGCATAAACTTGGAGGACTTACACTCCAGCTTGAATTTGAGAGTCCACGAATGGCAATCATTACTCCCTGGGCTACGTACGGGGTAACTGCTTCCCCCAATTGGTTGTGCTTATAAAGGGCTTTTAATATATTTAAAGAATGAACTTTTTGTTCAACATTATCGTCTCCTTCATTCTTCGCCAAGCTTAGTAAGGTCTTCATGGTTTGATTAAACAATCTGCCTTCTAATTTGGGTTCTGTCGTTAACACCGCCTGAACCATGAAAGGAAGTCCTGCGCTTCTTCTAGTCGCGCATGCATTTATGTGCTCAAATTTGCCTTGTAAACTGCTCATTATTTTCGTGAGATACATTTCCGGAAGTCTCCTAAGTTTATAATTACGCAATCTGTAAACATTACATTTTAACATTAGGTTTATAAATGATTAATGGAATAATATTAATCACCTCCAAAGTCTCTTACAGTAATTAGTGAAGCCAATATAGCCCTGTTCAAAGGCTCCACGATGTTTGACTGTCATCAAAAAATCCACGAAGAAGTCACCAATTCTTTGCATTAAATCCACACTTATCACACCATCATTCGGAGATTCGTCAGAGTCACAAATTGGTAAATTTAAAGCAATTTCGCCCAAAAATAGTGAAGTTTCTTTAGCAGCGCGCCACGTGTAGACTAGAAGCATTTGAGCTGTACATGTTTCGTCTTCTTTACTAAAGCTGTCCTCGGGAATGTAGCCTTCAGGGGAAGAATTACAAACGACTTGGAAAATGATTGGAAGAACCATAAAACACGCCTTTACACATTTGTCTAATATGTCTCTGTATATGGGTTCTGCCAAATCTCTAAAGAAAATAAACAATTATATACCATTTACAAAGTTTTAGATTAATTAATATTATTACCTAGTAACCATATGTTTCATTAAGTGCCTTAATGCCAAAAATAAGCCGTGTAATGGTTTAGTTTCTGCGGCTTTTTTTAAATTATTTTTAGCAAAGTCGATGGCTTCGAAAATATTCTCTAAAATAAATGAAATAGCCATGTATACTTTGTCTTCATTTTCCGATCCGTTTTTCATATTTTCTTTTATTATTCCTGTCACGTGGGAACTCTCCAAAATTACATCGAACATATAAGAACCTGATAAAGTATCTGCAGGCTTTAAACTTGTTAAATTGCTAACAACATTTTTAAAATAAATTGCAGCCTCCGTTTTCACCTAAAATTCAAAACGATATAATATTAATTATGTTTAAAACTTTTCTAACATTTACATTTAAACCCATTCTGTCGCTACCAATTTTTTGGGACAATATTACTGCCTTTTCTTTATTTGTTTCATAAGTATCTGTTTCAATTATGCCTTTTAGATGTTGTACATTCTCTTTGTGCCATGCAGAAATCCATTTTTTGTCGTCCACTACTTTTGAGGATAAAATAAGTAATTCTAGACAACAAAATCTTCTAGAATAATTGGCTCCCGAATGTAGACCGATGGATAACACCTGGGAGAACAAATTAAACCAAAACTTTTCGTAACTTTCTAAACAATCCAGTGTACTTTTTAAATTTAGTTTTAAAGCCAGTTGTTCCTTTCCTTTCAGTTTATTTTTTAACTGAGCTTCATTTCGTTTTAACACTTTCATACTTTCGTTATATCTCGCAAACATTTTTCTTCCTAAAGCCATAATTTGTTGGCGAGTGTTGGCGGAGAGCACGGAGGTGTTTTTTTGAAAATAACTAATTAAAAAGTCTAATTCCCACTGTGTAAAAGTTTCGGTACTTTTATGACTTTCGACGACGAGCGCCAAAACTGAAACACGAATGATATCGTTATGATGAAATTTAAGAGCCTCCAAAAGTTCGTAGTTTACAAGAGATCTCCACAAAACTGTTTCGTTAGAATTTACTCCGTAAATTTCAGTTGTTTGTAAAGGGATACCATGATTTCGTAGGTGTAGTAAACAAGCAAGATAAATTATTATTTCGTTTTCTGAACCCTTCTGGTTAAGTAAAAAAGTTTTGATAACTGTTTGATCTATTTTAAACAATTCTATAAATAAATCGTGACAATATTTGTTACATTCTTCTGGACAATTTCCTAAAAAAGTTATAAGAGCCGAGATCCAACATTCCACCCAATTCTCTCTTGATTCTTCGTGAAAGTGAAGGTTCGCCAGATTCTTGAAACAAGCGCAAATTTCGTTGGCCAAGTCCGTTTTTATTAAATTAGAAAGTAAAAACTTGGGGAAACTTAAATGTTTCTTGATAAACATTGAACAACTAATTTCTTTACTCAGTACCTCCAAAACTTGGTAAAAACTGTTCTCGCTGTTTTGCAGTTTAAAAGCTTCATCAATAATTAGGCCAATTAAATCTCGTTGTTTGGCACATTTTATAAAATTAATAAATATTGCCGTAGTGTTAGAGCGAATTGTGTTCATGTAATGATTTAAATGACTAAACACAAACGGTAACGCATCTTCCAACACTAACTTTAACTCTTCTTGACCCAGATAATGTACACTATTGCTCATTAACAGCATTGCTTGTGTTATTTCCAAAATTTGAGTTGGTTTGCATGTAAAACGCTTTACACTGTTCAGCAATTCATTAAAAAAATATGTTATTACAGGGTAGTTATTTATAGTGTGTGCCTGAAGTATTTCAAGAGGAACAGTCTTTAATATACCCAACATTATACATACAACGAAAATTTCTGTTACTTCAACATTATTACTTTCATATCTATCAAACTCTAAATAGTCCTTCAGATAAGAGTGTTGATTGTTCAAAAGAGTAATAAACTCTTTCCAAATATCATTTTTATTCATTTCTTTAGTAAACAGAGTTTCTGTAACGTTTTTACAGACAATTAGCATGATGTGACCACAATTTGCTCTTGTATCAAATGTAACATTAGGATGCATACAAATTTTGAAAGAAAGCATTAAAAATTCACAACTGTTGTCCTGAGAGGGTTCATATTTTTGACACAGTGCTAAAGTTATTCTAATGAAGTGTTGTAAATAGTTATTTACTTGTTCAGGCAATAAGTTAGGTAAATTCGAATTTCCTTGTGTCCTACAATATAAATCATTGATGATGTACTTCAAAAACACAAATACATCTTCTGTTACGTCATGAATAAGTATGTTTTCATTCTCCACCACTACATACAAACTATTGATTATATTGTTTATGGCATTTAAATCTTGAAACAAATTATCACAAATCTGCTTTACTTGAATGGTCAAATACAAACACAACGGTTCATTTAGATCAATACATGTAGTTTTATCAAACATTCGAAGTAATGTTTTCCTTAGTGGATGTTTTAAAGGTGTAAGCAAATATATCTTGGCCAACAAATTTCCTGCTTCTGTTCTATATGCAAGAGATGCGTCATGTTTAAAATGATCATCTAGCTAAAAGATATACATTGTACCTAGTCTATATTATAATTAATAGACAAAGTTTAGTAAAAAAAAAAAACGTACCTTAACCAAACAATCTTGTTGTGCTTTAATATCACAAGAGGCATTAAAAAGGTCATTAATTTTAACAAATTCATCACTTAAGTTAACGTCTGCAGCAAAAATCTTCATTTTAATAATTCAAACTGATATAAATTTTACAGCCTTTTAAAAGATTTATTATCAAACACAAAACAGTTTCAACTGTCATGTCAAAAATTGTAGTGACATTTAAAGCATAGATAATAGACCTTAGAAGAACGTAGGGACTGTCTATGGTAGGGAGGTCAAGTGGCAGGAGCGTTAGTTGCACAGTTGTAAAATGGGTTGCATAAGGAAAAATGCAATTTTTTTAATTGAAAATATTTTAGTTCATTATTCTTGGACCACTAAAAGTACGAAAAATGTATTTTATTGTATAACAGCAACAGGGTATTTTAGAAATAATAATCATCACATTCTTCGTATGAAAATATTTTTTCCCATTTTTAAATATATATATAATACTAAAGAACAAGAATTTATTAAACAAAATTATAATTCTTTGTAAAAGGTATTTTAAAAAATACAAAAGTAAAATAAACAATCAAAACAAAAAAACACATACATTTTCAAAAACCTTATAGTAGATTATCATCATAAATTTCTTCTCTATCTTCGTTAGTATCAGCTTGTGCTTCAGCTTCACCTCTTTCACCCTCTTTGGTTTCTTTTACAACAGGAAATCGCGTTTCAAAAGCGGAACCCTTTGAAGATGGTAACTTTAAATTCTCATTTTCACTTTCACATATTCCTAAAACAACCAGCATTTAATAAATATCAACTGTGAGCAACAGAAAATAATTTCTAAATTAAATTACTTTCCATATTCTTCAAAAGCTTTGCAATAATGATTAATTAATAAATTACCTAAAAATTTTTTGGCTATTTTTATTGCCATTTGAGCTGATCTAGGATTCACAGATAGTTGAGGACTTAGGTGAAAGTCCTCTACAGGTACCATCAGACTGTTTACAAATTCAAAAACTTCTTTTTCTTCTTCAGTTTGTTCCTCATTAACACTTTCATTTTTTTCAGGAGCCTCTACAGTACAAGTGGCGATAACGTCGTCAGCATATGGCAATTGGTTGACTAAAATTGTTTGATGGTTTTCATCTGGAATGAGGGCAACCAATCTTGGCTGATTGTTTCGAGCATAAACTTTACTGGCAATACCAACTTTATCAGTCTCTAACAAACATTTATAAAACAGGTACAGTAATTTGTGTGAATGTGGATCATTAAAATTTGGAGCCAATACTGAGGTTCCATCTTCTAGGAAAATACTCTAAAAATCAAAATCAATAATTGGTTCCACTTTAGAAAGGGATTGATACCTCTGGAATGTTCTTCTTTTCTGTAAAACCTCTCAATGTAAAATTTTTTGGACCCTCAACTTTAAAATATTTCTTTAAGTTATCTTCAAATGCTACAACCTTGTTCCATCTTAGAACACCATGTACCACATTATCATGTGCTACTTTTCTAGTTTCATCTTCTGCATATACCCTAACGATTGAAAAAAATAAATGCTTTGACAATAAAAAATTAAAAGTAATTACCACGTGAAATAATTAGGATTCAAATTTCTTGGAGGTTGTACAGAAACAGCTCCTTCCCCTTTCAACAAGTGATACATGGAAGTAGGTATTTCTAGACTAGTTCCTATGGACAGCAATGCATTCCATGGATACATTTTGGTTTTTGTTCGAAAGGCAACAAAAAGATCCCTTCCCAACTTTAAATCACAAATCAGTGTTTCTGAATCTTTGCACATCGTTTCTAAAGCATGTTTGCTTTCTTCATTTATTTCATCCAAAATGATTGGATTCTTAGCCCAAACATTTAGTTCATGCATGTCTCTTATAAACCCCACCGATACAGAGAGCCCAACTATTATTGTCTTTATATTACATTTATTCTGTGTCTTAATAGCTGCTTTTATATCTTTAGTATGAGCACTTGAGATGTTTGAATAGTTTTTTGATATTAATACAAGCTGAGCTGAAACTATTCCAGCCTGTGTGTCAATTTCATTACTTAATATTTTTAAACCAACAGTTATGGCATCAATCCACGTGGCTTTATTTGCTACATATTTAGCCTCTATAAAAATGAACAATTTTAAAACAAATGATATTAAAAGTTATATAAATTTTTCTATTCCATACTTTCAATATCTTCCTTAATGATAGTAGGACTAAACTGGATAAAATGTTTAAAAACTTCAAGAATATTGGGTTTCTGAAGACAATTCTTGCTTTCATTTGAATTTAATAGCAACAACTGCACTGAGTTCTTGGGTGAGAAAAACCATTCTCTGCTGCTTATATCAAACAAAAAATTCAAAGATTTCTCATAAAATTCCTTGTTAGACCTATCAATATCAAACACTATTACTGCAACATCTCTTTTTGTTGCAGGTGGCATGGTTGCATCCTATCAGGTAACAGGGTGACACTAAAAACTAATATTTTTTATCATAAATCACCCTAAACATACCTTAAAAGTAACAAACAAATATGAAATAAATTGGGGGTAATACCTCAAAACTCAAATTGTAACGTATAAAATCATATAAAATCTATGACAGAACATATTTTTCCAATGTATGTCTATGGCTCATAGTCTATGCCTATAAAACATAGACTAAACCATCGACGTTTATATCTATGGACTAAACAGTATTATATTTCTTTAATCTATGGTTTAATTGTGCATACTGTTGTACATAGAAAAAAAGGCTAAGAAAAAGTTGTTCAGAATAAATTCAAATTTTCTTCGAAGAAGTGTCTCCTTCGCGATTAGATTGTGTTTATTGTAATGTTTATTTTAACGTATTTTTATAGTAGGTTAAATTGAATACGGTCGGACATACAGGAGACACTACTGGGGAAATATGTAGATAAACGAAGAAAAAGAAGACTTTTCATAACCTATGTCTTGCTTATTTATTCTTGGCAATTATAAAAGTCTATTAGATTTTATTGGTTGTAAATAAGTAATTTTAAAAATAAACGATGTGATATTAATTTTGTTTAGTCCTAAGAATGGAAGAGCAGTCTTTAAGAGATTCGTTAAATACTTATAAGAAACAGGTACGTATCAAGTGATTGTCGATATTTGTAAGTAATTTCTTTCCTCTTTGTTAAGTTGGTCCAAGTTAATTTGGCAATATCTACGTTTGAAGATGGAAAAGATAAAGAAGATTTGTTTTCGCTTAAAAACAACTTAGAACAACTCATTCAACTTACAAAGGAAAGTTTTCAACAACTTGAAAACTTAACTGCATCAACATCCTCTTCGAGTGACACTAGCACTTCCTTTGACTGCGAATATGCTTTATTTATGGTACTTTATGAATTTAACGACGTTTTTAGCGTCCTGAATGTTGTTTTATAATTTTAGTCAGAAATGGAAAAGGACGGAGTGCTACTAGAAAGTAATGAAACAAGTAGCAGTAAAATCTTAAATATTGAAGATGAATTAAAAGCAATTGAGGGAATGAAGTGTAAGGCTCCTCATAAACATCAATGGGGTGATGTTATTTATCACAATGCCCTTATTTGCTCTGTTGTAGCATGTGAAAATTATTCCAGTATGGATGATATTGAAGTATATATATAAGTTTATAATTAGTATTTAAATTAAACTAATTTAATGATATTTATTAAGGTCAAAGTAATGTTTATAAATCCCACACATGAGGAGATGCTGCCATGTCCCTATCTTTTAGAATCATCTTGTAAATTTGATGACGAGAAGTGTAAATATTCTCATGGAGAAGTTGTAGCTTTTTCATGTTTAAAGGAGTACATTGAGCCGAAATTTGAACTGCTAACAAATGGGAGCAAAGTACTGGCTAAACAGAAAAATAAATTGTGGACTAGAGCCACAATAAAAAGACTTTTTAATGAAAAATGTTTGGTGAAGTTTGATTCTCATAAGAATGAAGTAGAGTTGGAGTTTCATGAAGTTTTGCCCCTCAATGAAGATGAGGAAAGTAGCAGTGAAGATGAAAGTAATGAAGAAAGTGTTGGTAAAACTGAGCATGTTATTAATATAAGTCTAATGAATACACCATCTTCAGAGGCTTTGGGGGGTTGGGAAAAATATACAAAAGTGAGTTTGTTTTTTTATTTGTACTTTTAGGTATATCTAGATTTTTTTTTGTTTTAGGGTATAGGGTCCAAATTGATGCAGAAAATGGGATACATTGTGGGAACTGGCCTGGGAAAAGCTTCTGATGGCAGAATAAATCCTGTCTCAGCCGTGGTTTTGCCTCCAGGAAAATCTCTAGGTCTTTAAGAAAATTAAATTTATATAATTACTATCTTGTTCTAATTCTTTTAGATCACTGCATGGATCTGAGAGAGAAATCGGGAGGCGACAAAAATCTCTTTAGTGTGGAACATAAACTGAAAAAATTACAGAAAAGGCAAGAAATTCGCAGTCAGAAGATATACGAGCGTGAAAAAAAGAAAGTCGACGTTTTTAATTTTCTTAACGAGACTTTATCGAAAACGAACGACGAGGAAGAAATGAAACGTAGGAAATTAGAACATAGAGGAGAGATAAAGAGTAAAAGTTTGAGAAATTTGAACGTGGCACAAATGAAAGTGGAAGAAGAAATAAAGAAGGTCGAAAGGGACATGATGAAAATTAGAGACTCATTAAAAAGACACTCAGACGTTCGAACTCAACTTAATAAGAATTTAAAAGACAAGTTGGTAAGTAAACAGTTTGAATTAAAAAATTTAAAAGCGCAAGCAATTAATATTACCAACGAACAGAGTGTGAGAAATGATAAGAGAAAATTAACAATTTTTTAAATTTATCATATGAATAATTCGGTATAATAAGAGACCATTTGTAATTTAAAAATGGCGATTACAATGATATTCATTATTGTTAAACATTCTTAATAACTTAGTGAAGTAATTAAAATGAAAACTAAAAAGCACAATTTATCATTTATTGATCGATATCTGATAAAAAGAAAAGTACATAAAGAATGCATGAATACTTAATTATAACTTATAAAATAAGTTTTTTTGCGAATTAAATCGATTTATTATTCGAACATTATTCACTTTCCCCTTTGTCCAATAAAAGCGCGTAAAAAAATAATTATTCAAAAACATAGTTTACAATCATGGCAAGAACACGAAAAGTACAAATAAATGCGACAAGAAAATCAGTTGCTACTAAAAAATCTGAATTTTTAGCTGTGTAAACTTCAAAAAAGTCAGTTATATAATCTCAAATTAAGACAAAAATCGTACATAACTTTTACGATTATACGATCCATAATACTTCAATAATTGTTTACTAGTAGTAGTAGTATACTTTTGTTTGTACTTAATATTAAAACTTTGCCACTGTACTAAACAACCTTTTCTTATTATATTTGTTTGTTTTTTAAATTCTCGTCCTTTTAAAATTTTTAAAGACGAAAACTTAATGTAAATGATAATAAATGAGAAACGTTACATAAAATGCTTGGGTGAAGTTCTGGATTAAAAACAAACAAAAAATAGAAGCTTTGTAACAGAAAATACAAGAAATTATCTATCTTATTACACTCCCTCTGAGGTCTTAGCTGCTCTATCTGTACAATGCAATCGTATACATGTTTTTATGTCCAAAAATAAACTCAATACGGCGATTTTGGTAAGCCCTGAAAGTGACCCTCTTCTTTCACCGATCTCGCTGAAAATTAATTTTTTTCTTATAACTCTGACTAGAAATGGAGTAAAAAAAGTTATTACAAAAGCAATTACTCTGCTTTACTTTCACTGGACGGTCAGAGTCACGAATTAATATAAAAACGAAATGGTCATTAAATACTGTGGCTATTATCAATTAATTAATTGAACACACAATGCAACATTATAAGACTGACTTTTACATGTGAAATGTAATATTTCTGTGCATTGTTAATAAGTAAAGCAGCTCTTTAAACGTTAGGTTTTTTAAACTTTTATTCTCGTTTATTCTTACATGTACTATGGTACAAATTAATAATTTCTGCAATTATTTGCATACAGAGGGTACATATAAGGATAAGTAAAAATAAACGAGACTGTTTATAGGCTAATAGGGCTATAAAAAACCAAAAAATATGAATCTCTCGTTCATCCTTTAGAAAAAGGTCGTTTTTAAGTAGTAGACACCGTCACTTACAACCCTACAAGAAAAAAATAGTGAAATTGAAATCTAAACATTCACAAGAGCCACAAAACAATTAAAATGGATCAAATGAAATTAAAAAAAATCATATATACCACCCTCTCAGTGATCGTCTCTTTCAAGGAGACAAGTCTTGATGCATACCTGGGTCATATCCGCAACTGCTGGCGTCATAAGCTGAGCTCTCGTAAGCGGAACCCATGGAATATCCCATCGAATCTTGAGGAGGAGCGGGAGACATCATGGGAGTCGGTGTTCCACTATAAGGCGAAGCCCCTGCTGCTTTTTTGGCAGCATACAAATTCGCCTCCTCCTGTGCTTTCCCTATGTTCTTCTTGTATCTAATACGTTTGTTACCAAACCAATTAGAAACCTGACTGACTGTAATACCACATTTTCTTGCCAATTCTTCTTTAGCTTCTTCACTGGGATAAGGATTTGAGAGATGAGAGTAAAAATACTCATTGAGGATTTCTGAAGCTTGTTTACTAAAATTGCGTCGTTTTCGGCGAGCGTCAAGGAAGCGCGATCTTAGAATCATTACTGCTTCACAAGTGGATTGTTTCAGCTGCATCTGAATGGAGCTGAACTTTTTATGGATAATTTGGACCATTCGTTCGATTTCCTTTGGAGTTATAGGTCTTAAATTGAACAAATGCACAAAATTGATACAATTACTGGCTAACAATTTGAAGAACCAATTTACCTTGTCCTGGACTGCTCCCTTAGGAGGTTCATTACATGTGTTGTAAACTCATTGCAAGCTTGCTCATATTTTTCCAACTCCTGATGATAAATTTGACGAATTTGTCCTAATTTAGCGCGATAATCTGAATGCTCAATTGCATTATCTGGTTGACCTCCTTGAGCAGCAGCAGAAGCAGAAGCAGCAGCTCCTACACCTCCACCCTTTTCTGGACCTGCGACGCCTTCAGCGATAAGCATGTTATCCAAACGCATCAGCTGTGGATCTGGGGGTTCCTCTTCTTGGGTATTTCTTAAGGAAAGAACTGTTTTCTCTTTAATTTCACAAAGAACAGAGAACAGAGCTGGCTTCATTCGATGGCAATTGAGCGTGTGCTTACGAGCTTGAGCTTCGTCCAAGCTTTGATCGGTTATATTCATAATCTGTTGAAGTATTTCGCCTATATCTTGCTTGCGAGGTTCGTTTTCACCACCCGATGGGGCATCGCCCTGCGGATTCATACCGTAAGGTTGTGGAGGCATTAAACCACCCCCTGTGTGTCCCATCATTCGGCCCGGATCATCCATGATAAAAAATTCACTTTATATTGTTTTCAATTTTTCAGATGACGAAAACTACAAAACTACAAAAATGAAGCTATTGACATGTTATTGACACTGGTCATAGATAAGATATTGGGGTGTTCATAGATCAGATGTATTCGAATAATGCAACATGCTGTGAATCTGGCACCCGATATAATAATCCACTGATTCAAACTTTACCAAAAAATTGTACATCGTTTGAGGGTTCTAACTATGTAAGTATTATAATTGTGCATGCGTTAGTTCTGTTAAAAAATGGAAAACTGTTTCGGTTATTTTTGGTAGAAATACAATGTTAATTTATTCAAAAATTGACACCAAATATCACGCGCTATTTATGCTTGAAGATTGAGCATTTACGGTAAGCGAAGTTTATTTTTNAGCAAACATTTTCACAGGAACCCTATGCAAAGGTTAAAAACTTAAAAGAGTATTTTCGTATATACAACTTGGATATGCGTGGGGTATGTTGGGTTGCATATACTACATTTGCTTTGTCGGTTTTAATGTTAAAAAATTTACGTTAGTATCTATGTTTGTTCAATTTACTTTCTATGTTACTTCCGCATAAATGTTAAAGATGATTGCCCTATTATCTATGATGATTGCCTATTATCTATGATGATTGCGTTCGTGCCGGTTATTGCAAAAGTGTTTCCTTTAATATAGTTATGAAAATGATCTGCTAAAGGTATTTGAATTCTTTTAATTTATTTGTATACTTGAGTATTTTTTGAAGTCGCCTTGTTTGTTAATCTAGCAAGGAAAAAGAAATAAAGATATTGGGTCGGGGAACGTCTCCAGTCGTAGGCGATCATTCCTTTCGTGGCTTCCTTTTTGTTTTTTTTTTTTACTATCAATCAACGATGGATTAAATGGTAAAGTTTAACTTAATTTAATGTTATATTTTGACAAAACTGATTATAAAGATACAATTTGTAGTTTATTAGAAGGAATTTATAGATATACACAAATATGGAAATTGTCTTTACAGTGGTACCCACTTGTAATATAATAGTCAGAATTATTCTGGTTAGATTAAAGGAGGGTAATTATTTATTTTTGGCATTGTATGTATGCTATATTGTGGAGACTTATTCAATTGCCGTAGAACATTGCTTAATGTGGTAAACTTTTTCACAGAAGCATTACACGAAAACACAGATGGTATGAGTTGATGTTCGGGCTGATGGGCCATCGTCTGTTGGGTTGTTTTCCCGACGTTTCATCCACAACTGTGTTGGACATTATCAAGGGCGATGTCGAAGTCTTCTCTGATATGAAACAGTGACAAGCACGGTCGTATTTATTTCGTTCTGGAGGGTGGACGACGTGGTTGATGTAGTAGAACCATGATGGTGTGTTTTGTATCCGGGAAATATGGAACCGTTGCCCATTGCAATGGAAAGATTAAGATTAATATGAATCGTTATAGGCATTAATATTGGGTAAGTGACACTATTTATTTATTTGTGTACGGTGGCAGAAACATTAAGTTGACTATACATATATAGCAATTTTAATGGTTTAATAGAAAAGAGCCGAATAGTTATTCTTATGCGTTTATTTGAATAATAATCCGAATGTTTATCATTATTGTAAGGTGATTATTTTATGAAAATATTACAAATATTATACGGTTACTTCAATCCCAAGCAGGGCATGACAGAATCCATGTCTGGGCCACGATTGGGATACTACACTTTTTACTCAAGACCAAATCAATATTAATTTATAACCCTCTACTATTATTATGTTTAACAAAAACAATGGTTATTTCACACTTTTTGAAAATATGAATTTAGGACAAGATTTTATTTAAATTTTTATAGTTAATCAATATTTCTTTATATAACTACCACCTAATGTACACTGAATTTATTTAATTTACATTAATATTAAAATGGCCAAAGAATGATAAACAAAGTGAATCGGCCCCAGAGAGATATGTAAATAATTTTTTGAGGGTATATTGAGTTACGTTAATCCTGAACATTTTTAACTTCTATTTATTTTTGGTTTTGAATAAATCTAAAAAGTGGAAAATCAGAAAAAAAAATCTCAACAACGGCTTAACCGATTTAAATAAAATTTATACTTATACACATAATTTATGTGACATAAAGGTTTTATTCGAAAAAAAGTAACAGCTCCTAATCTTTATAGTAATCATTAAAGATGGACGATTTTTCCGAAATAATATTTCTTCTTTACGATAACGTTCTAGAACAATTTTGAAATAAACTTCTTTGTATGTCATTACCAATGTAGAATAACCTCTCCAATCGTTTCATCGATCAAAAAGATACGCTATATTCAAAAACAATAAAAACCGATTTTTTTATATAACGATTTATTTCAATGTTTATACCTTGAAATTTGTAAGTGCAAATAACATTGAATATTGAAAACAATAATGTAAAGTTTTTATAAACTATAATATTCAAAAATTAATTATAAACTATATTTACATGTTAATAATTATAATTAATTAAAAAACAACAATATAAATATCATTCATCATTATATTNCCCTTCTTTTACAATTATTACAAAGGTATAAGATTTAAATATACATAAGAGAAAAAAATGTAAAATATAAAAGATTTGTGTGACATCAATATTGCACTGCTAGGATAATAAATGTAATAACAACCGAGGTATTGCCATATGTACAGTAAAAATAAATAAATTAATAAGTAAGAACAATACATGAATAGCTAGATATTTTGGATTCTTTACCGTGGTGACTAAATATCTATGTCGAAAGTCTATGATCAAAGGTCTATGATATTCTATACGTGGTCTATGGTAACAGCATAAATGATATATTGTACATTGTGTATCTGTGATTATTTACTATGGTGACTAAATATCTATGTCGAAAGTCTATGATTAATGGTCTATGATATTCTATACGTAATCTATGGTGTTTGCAGCAAGTGTCATTTATTTTATCTATGTCACAAGATTCTGTGATGAGAGACACGTCCAGCCACTCCAAGTCGCCATTTAATATTCGTTTGTCTTGCCTTTTGGTTTGCTTTTAATTTCATTTAATATCTTGTTTATTTGATGGAATATGTAATTAATTCGTTTTTCTAACTGTTTCCGGCAGGTTGATGGACAAGCGAGAGAGGATTGAAGTAAATTTGGAACCTCATGGAATAACAAATTGTCTACTACAGAATGTCTGGATTTCTCTTGCTGCTGATTTCTTCACGTTGGACCATTTTCGGCCTACAAGGAGAGCACATCGAAGTTTATTCGGATCTCACTGGATCAACAATTTCACTCACTTCAGATTTCTTCACTTTGGATGAATAAACACTTAATCTTTGACTGTGGCAAAAGTACATTGAACTTTATTTAATTAAGGTGAGAATACATAACAATTAATATTAATTGCTCGTTATTAATCTGTTACCAACGTATCTGTTTAAATAGTTCTTTATCATGCATGCTCTATCTAGTAGAATTCTTTTAGTTGATTTTATTCAAATTAATTTTTTATTTTGCATGTTTTTTGTAGTTAATTTGATTTAGTTTTTATTTTGCATGCTTATTTTTGTTTGAAGTAATTATTTCTAATGCCTCTTCATTTCTAACGTTCTCATTCCGCGCACCTTCACCTTTTTCGAAATTCTAAATTAGTTATTCGCGAGCATAGAAGTTACTTCCCTTGCATATTTACCATTCTTTTTTACCTTTATTTATTTATTTATTATATTTTATATTTACATTTTATTCATATAATACTGGTGTGTCAATACCGCTCCCATTTTATTTAATGCTATCTCTAACTCCTTGCTAGATGCTAATACTCCAATTCCATCTGCAAATCCAAGCATACTAATCTTTTGTCCCTGTATATTTATCCCTTCAGTTGTCCTATCTTTAATGATGTTGTTCGCGTCTTCGATGTGTAGATTACAATCTGGCGGTGACAGTGGACATCCTTGTCTGACTTCCTTCCTAAAATTTACTTCTCTACGTTGTTCCTCAAGCCTATTGCTTTTTGAACAAAACTATGTACCACTCTTCTGTCTAGGTCTAGTTTATTTAATGTCTTGTCCCATTTAACATTGTCAAAAGCTTTTTCTAAATCTACGAATCTCATATACGCACTCTTTACTAGAAAAATTAGCTACTATTAAAACTATATTTAATGTCAAGCTGCTTCGAAGGCGTTTCTGAAAGATTTACTAAAAAGTTTTTTTATGATTCTCTGTTCCCGTATTCTATTCGTCCAATATCATTAATTACATAATAGAATAAGAGTTTTATACAATTTATGTAAACTATAACGTAAATTATCCGTAGGTACTTACGTATTATTTTAGTTAAGGATCTTGCATACAATTGAAACCGATTTTCTGAGGAAACGGTTTATCTTTATTACTGTCGTAAAGTTGATGATCCATAAACATTAATGGGATATTATAGCGTTTTGGCTTCAAATGAAGTTTTCGTATGGGTTTTTGGGATAAGTTTCGTAAATATATTTAATATTAAAATCAATATTCAGATTTATTAGGTACCTATATATTATGCTTTATAGAAAATATACAGTTTCTATTTAATATTGTAGTTGATTAACATTGTTGGGCTAGTTACTTAGTAAATTTGAAGATTATGCGATATCACTACATAGTATAAAACAAAGTCGCTTTCCCGCTGTCTGTCCCTATGTATGCTTAAATCTTTAAAACTACTCAACGGATTTTAATGTGGTTTCTTTTAATAGGTTGAGTAATTCAAGAGGAAGGTTTATATCTATAATACATGCATAATATAGCAGAGAAACACTGATAATTTTAGAGGTTTGTAATGTGATGTCATAAATCAACTTATTTTTTGCGTTTACATTGCAAACGCTGGCTGAACCCTACGAGATAGATCAAAATAATATACTACAGTATAAGTACTCCTTAGAAAGGTCTACAAAAAAGTCCGCCATGGTATAGTCTATCTCTTATTTACAAAGGGATTTTAAGCAATACAGCATTAATCCTTATCCAATTAAGTACTTTAAAATACATTGTGCATTTAATATAGATCAATATGGC